CCCTCCGCATGCTTCGCATAACGTCGATTTTCAGGTACGTGGAATCTGCCGGATTTTTCTAGATTGCAACGCTAAGCGTGGTGTTGTCAAAGGTGAAATTGTCTTTGTTGCCGAGCTTTGCAGGTCACGAAGGGCAACGTCGACGATGACATAAATGCTTTTGCACAGTTCACGTGTGACTGACAGGGCGCACTCGCAAGAAACCCCAGTGTGTCTGCGAAGTTTTCTCACGAAAGATGGAAGCAACTTTATTGCAGTGTTCTTACGAAGCCTGTGATCTTTGAAGGACAAAGCTACAGCATTGGCGGCTTTTTGTTAAGCGCAAACACTTACGGCCCCGCCGCGGTGGTCTAGTGGCTAAGGTACTCGGCTGCTGACCCTCAGGTCACGGGATAAAATCCCGGCTGCGGCGGCTGCATTTCCGATGGAGGCGGAAATGTTGTAGGCCCATGTGCTCAGATTTGGGCGCACGTTAAAGAACCCCAGGTGGTCAATAATTTCCGGAGCCCTCCACTACGGCATCTCTCATAATCATATTGTGGTTTTGGGACGTTAAACCCCACATATCAATCAGCGAACACGTATGGCCGTTCTCATTCGCTGCTACGTAAATGATACCGTGCTGTCACAGGCCGCGCGTGTTATTCAGCAAGGCAGGCAAGCTGTTTTGTACTTGTATGGGCTAACACCGTTGGCACTTCCCGTTTGGCATCGTTTATGAAGTGCTGATCGCCTAGACCATTGGGGTGGCACGTCAGTATTTTGAAGCGACCTGCCGCTTACCTCGTCAGGTGATACACTGAGCGACATAAAAAAGTTTCCTGAGACTACGTTGCAGTGCGCCTTTCTTTCATCAAAACTTTGATCAACCGTGGAAATCAACATTCCGGACACGTTTGCCAGAGAAACCAATGCAGCCAGCTGCATTTGAGTTTTTCGTGTCCTTTTGCATTTCGCTGATTAGGAGCATTAATTCGCAAAACACTTTATCATAGTAAATTTAGCCAACTTTACGAGAGTCATCAAACATCCAATAATAAAGGGCCTGTGGCAAGTCAGGCTGACGGGAGACTGATGAGGAGGCGCAAATGTTAAAGCATTACATGTGCAAACAAAACAAAACGTAACAAAGAGTGCAACAAGCTCAAACCACCGACCGCACCAGTTCTTTTTGTGCCGCTCTAACCAACCACGCCACAGCTGCCACAGGTGTTAGAAGATTAACAAGCTGGTTTTGTATTGTGACGCTGGACCTAACTAACATTTTTGAAATTTTACATTTCAACGTATCCTTCATGGCTTCTATCATTACGTCTAGACGCACTGCTAAATACTCCGACTATTAAAATAAAGCGCTTGACAGGAAAAGCGCATGACGTCACTTCCGTGCAGCGCAGCAGCCGTTTCTGTCTGGGGGTGGCTCGTGCGCCGCGGGGCACAGCAGTCTCTGCTTTTCCAGAATCCCTTGCGCGCCCACTGGTGGCACTGCGCTGCTTGAAAAAAACATCTAATACGTTACGTGGCCTTATTCGCAATGCCCACGGCCTATAGGTGGCATGCCGTGCAATGCAAAATGGCTGCGGAAGGGCGACCAACCCATGATCTCGCATAAGAAAAGGTAGGGCGCACAGACGCACTCCCCATGCTGCTTTCACCAGATTAAATCTTGATCGTCAGATGAATGTATATCAAACCGATTGATTGATTTGTGGGGTCTAACGTCCCAAAACCACCATATGGTATATCAAACCGAAGTGCTTTCCCAACCAATAAGAATGGCTGAATATTCACCGCAGTGCAAAGGGTGTCAGCTGATCGGCCGTGTTTCAACGAGGCTTTGCATAATCCTTTGCGTTCTACAGAAAACTGCACGAACTAGAACTCACGTATAAACTGAACGGCACTGTGAGATAATTTGTGCCGAGCCTAGCTGGCGGATTTGCCGCAGTAGTAGGCCACTAGCGAGTAGCGCGCTGTCGCGGCTGCACAGGGCCGAATGTTCAACATAGCGTTGGTTTGCAAACATATTAAGCCGTCGTCATTACATGCGCTGTAAGCATCATGCAGCTGATTCTTCCACGGAACACAAGCATTTAGCTTCCCATTAAGTAGTGCTTGTGCCACAGCCGTGATCAGTCTCCAACACTGCGCAATTCGCTGCACTCCGATGATGCAGGTTCCATCAGCGCGATCGAAACAAGGATATCGAAACGAATAGACGCGTACGCTTTTCGCAACGTCAAAATTGTGAAAACTTGTCGAAAAACAACGTCGTTCGGACGGAGCCAGTGAAGTGCAGGAGAAGTTTGCGTGGACTGTAGTTGTAACTCCATATTTAATTACTCTAACCATTTCGCTTCACTGGTCGAGCGCGTTGGCATCATGCAGCGCTTTGTATGACGGGACGTGAAGTGCAACTCTCTGCTTGTGAGCTAGCAGCTGATCGTTCATCGCCGCTGTCTTTCTCAGCGGGTTGACAACCATCTACGTCCAGTGAAAAATCATCGACGTCAAGGTGGTTTCTTCGAACATCACTGCTGAAAGTAATCTGAGGAATTCTCTCCGCCAAACGACTTCGGTAGCACCAACAACGCGTCATTCATCACGCACAACACCCACATGGCGTCACTCTCCACGTTTAACTTAGGGTGCGGAGATTATTTCGCTCCGATACCAGGCAAGAAAGGAATCGCTTGCAGTTTGCTGCCATGTATCAACGAATGTAAAAAACAAGCGGTACAGTGTAGGCCAAGGTTTAGACACGCAAATCGCGAGCCTGCGCTACTTTCTGTGTAAAATGATTGCTATGGGATTCATTCATGCACTAAAAAAGCACTGCGAATGCTCTACGCACGTAAAACAAAGCGAGCTTTAACTGGAATGGTCAGACGATAACATTTAGCTATTCGAAGTGGCTGCAGGAAATCTCGTGAAGTTAATATGTGCACTCTATAGGCTATAATCAAAAACGTGAGTTGCTACGTATTTTCACGAAAACGTCGCGTCTCGCAAAAACGAATCAGATTTATCGGGTCGCAAACGGTCCAGTATATTCACTGATTCACGAAACAAACAAAGTGGCTTGTGTTCGTTTCTTGCTAACGCGTCAACGCTGCGGCCAGCCCTGCCGAAAAAGGGATCATTGGGAGCGTCTACCTACTGATCAACTTTGAGAGGACGCTCCTGTATTCCGCTTGTTGGCGTGACAGTCTAAGAACATTGCGCGATATAGCATATCCGACGTACCCAGTTATCCAGCCTTGGCACGTTTATTGTTTATGTGTCTATGAGTCCGAACGATATGTCTTGTGCTAACTCAGCTAGGGGAAGCGCAGCGTCCTCGTCCTGGTGCGTGGTCGACGTGGCATTGCAGTGACTCTATTCAGTTTCCCCATCGTCCATACTACTGAGACGTGATATCTTCATTGCCCAGCTGCGCACACAGCCAGCGAAAGCGCCTCGACTTCTGCAACGCGAGTTTTATGTTTATTTCATAATCAAAGCGACCAACGTCACTCACGCACTCGTGAAATGCACCATGGACGACACCAAACCCTCACGAAAAAGCCACAACTACAGGGCAAATTTCTCCGCCAAATCTGGTGGTAGTCTGGCAACAACCACATTACAGTCTGGCAACTGGGGCATGTAACGCCATTCAGAACGTTGCCCTGGGAACACTGTAATGGAAATCAGTATACGTACAGGCTAAAAGCCTCTATTGTCCTCCGAATCACTATCGCAAGACTATCCACAGGGAAAACGAACGTACTGTACATTGGTGCCATGGCGACCAATTCACAATCAAACGATTGATTGGACCTCTGAAAAGCGTAATCTTGTATTCGCGTGCATGTACATTATCCCAGACTCCGCCAGCTCGCTTCACAAGTATGCTGGATGACAGTGACCGCACGACCAAGCGGTGCCAGCGGACGATCGAGAGGGTGACGGGCAAGTTGCCATTTTTTTGTGTTTTTGTGCTTCACGTCATTACAACTTGCCATACTGCTGCGTGAAGCCACCAGGATTAGTACTGTAGCCTGACGTCAAGTTAGTGTCCAACTCGGTAGGTGCGTCGCGAGAAACGTGACTTCAATATCAAAATAAAATGTCAGGATTTGCTGAGCATCATACTTGCTCAGAGTAGTCTCTGTATATAAGAGAATTATGTGGCAGAGTAAACTCGCTTCCAAAAAAGGCATAGAACACCAATGTATGTTCTCGCCATTCTTAAGCAGATACAAATTTCGAACAGTTGTGAGAAATACCCATTTACCACGTCCCCTAGTATACGCTTGTTACATGCGTCTGTAGACAAGGATTGGACGTCATACGCGACGAGATTTTCACAATATTCATGTCATACCCAGACAGACATAATCATGAAACCCTCTTACCCTCTCATACTTATTTTGGTCTATCTCAAGTAAGAAGGTAATCACGAGTGCACCTATACCTAGGTGGCAACATAAAGAGATATCAAGGTAGAAACGCACAAAGTGTCTGCATTGAGCAAGAAAAGTGCCTCACACTCAAATCACTCATGAAAGAAGCACCGCATGCTTGGCAGAAAGGCATATTCAGCCTTCTGCAGCTGATAAAAACGAGCAAATTCTCAGGAAAACTAAATTTAATTTTCATCCAATAAGAATTGATTATGTTAGGCTAACTTTATGTTACCATGTTTTAAACTTTACTAAAATATTCGAGTACATAAGCGTGTTTAGTTTTATGGAGTTTTTGTAACGCATGGTCTCTGGTGAATATTTTTCTCCACGCTATTACAGAGTGAAGAGTACACGGATACGGCAGTAAAGAGAAATAGTTTGGGAATGAACATTGGGATTTTCTGTTCCTGTGCACCAAAAGTGGATGAAAGTGGCTGTCCGTAGTCAACGTGCAAAAGCTTCTGTGACATTTAAAAAAAAGTGACATTGTGGTTCACCCACAGCACATAAAGATTTGCGGCGGCCGCACAGTGCCTATAGTATACTTACGAACACATGACCTCGGCAATCTCTCGTGCTGCTGTTGGTCACTCTGTACCGATCCTTCACAACTGTAGCGTTTGATTTCACTTCTTCCGCTCTGTAAATGAAAGTATAGGTATATAACATGACATCTCGTAGAAACATTTCGGCAGATAATTCTGGATTAAACAAACGCGGCGCCACTCATGCGATAATGACGAGAATATAACGGCAGATTATGGCATATTTTATAATCATAGCCTGGTTTTGTGGTGTGAAACCCCGAATGCAGTTTGGTCCATTAGGTTTCATGAAAAACAACAACCTTTGTGCTAAGTCGGGGCAAATATACTTTTAAACCGCATCGCGATAAAATTTAAAATACTCTGGCAAGAAGTATTTGAGATACAGATACAAAATACCGCCAAATATGTGATGTTCCATAAGAGAGTTCCCAATTCAATCTTAGGATACTTTGATAAGTTTGTAAATTTCTTAATATTGCCACAGTTCGAGCATGCCAGTAGACGAGCGCAGCAATTCGCATTCGTAAAAGCCGCCACACAAATAGCAAAAAAGCTGCGCCATGGAACGCCGTCCTGCAAGCCCCCCGATGCTACGCCACGGGACCACCACGAGACTCGACGTGAAGAAGAAAAGATAACGACGAAGTTGGAGACAACGAGCAAGGAACAATTTGGCTGACCCTTTAATTTTGAGTTTACGGGCACAGGTTCGCCCTAAATGAATAGTCTGTATGATACCAGGTGCTATATTTATTGGTAACATTCGGGTGGATGTGCTGGGTATGATTCCAAAACCACTAGAGGCAAGGGAGAGAAGCCCGGACCCCAGAAGATTGGAGCCAGCAGAATTAACACCTGTGCACCAACGCACGAGTCACCGATTACGTGGTAAGCAGCCCGAGTTTGGCCCCCTAATTGATCCATCAAGACCTGTCGAGACCTCAAACCCAAGCGTCACTGCAGTGGCCACCCAGCCGATGCCATCTCCATCTCAACTCATCGTGGATTCACCACGTATACCAGAGGTCTTCCACGGTGACACCTTTGAAGATGCCGAGGACTGGTTCGAAGGCTTCGTGCGCGTTGCACGTTTGAATGGTTGGGACGAAGCCCAGAAACTTCGTTACGTTTACGTCGCTCTGCAAGATTCAGCACGTACGTGGTTTGAGAACCACGAAGCGTCTTTGCTGTCGTAGGACAACTTCCGACGAGAGCTAATCGCAACCTATCCGAACACAGACCGCAAAGAGAAAGCAGAGACTGCTCTTCAGGCGAGGAACCAACGGAATAACGAGAGCGTGGCCATGTACATAAAAGACATGTCGCGGCTCTTCCGCCGAGCCGACCGAAACATGGCCGAGGAGAATTTGTGGCACCTAAAGCGCGCAGTAAAAGAAGAGATATGTTCGCAGGCCTGGTGGATAATCCACCGCGAACTGTGGCGGAGTTCCGGGCCGAAGCAACGACCATGGAAAGGACACTACAGCAACGTGCGCGACTGTACAGCAGAGACTTTGGCGTCTTTTCGGTTAGGGCGGAGTCAACAACCCTCCCCACCAACATTGACGTCCTCCGGGAAATGGTGAGGGCTATCGTTAAGGAGGAGCTCTAGAAACTGCAACTCCCTAAACGTCCTACAGCGATGCCCTCCATCGCGGACGTTGTACGTGAAGTGCGGCAAGCAATTCTTCAACCACAGCCTCAGGTTCCCCACCGCACGCAACCGGAACCTCAGCCAGAGCTGTCGTACGCGCAAGTCGTACGGCAAGACATAATACGCCCGAACTTTGCACAAGCTACCGTTATGTCACCGACGCTTCCTTGCAGTACGTCACCGCCAATGCCAGAAGCGAGACCCCGTAAAAGTGATGTATGGCGCACAGCAGACCGGCGGCCCCTCTGCTACCACAGTGGTGAGGCAGGTCATCTTTATTGGACATGCCACTACCGTCGGGTCGGGCTACGTGGCTTCCCGGTGAATGCACCCTGCCCTTGTAATGGTGAGCACCCTTACGAAATCGAAGAATTTTTATCTTCGCGCTATGCCTCTCCAAACACTTTGCGACATGAATCGCGGTCGATTGCACCAATGCGCTATAGGTCACCGAGTCCTAGCCCATCATCTACTTTCCCGAAGCGTCGTTCACCAAGCCCGCGACGAGAAAGCTAGAACCAGCGACCTGTGGAGGAGGGGCCGCTGATTTTCGGAAAACTGAAAACCCTCCGTCGTTAACTGGATCAGATGACGACATTGGCACAATAATAGATAAGACGAACAAGTGCAGTAATGGCGACGTGACACCCGACCTACAAGTCAGAATCGACGACGTCGAGACCACAGCATTAATAGACACTGCTGCAGACTACTCAGTAATGAGTAGCATGCACGAAAAGAAGCTGAAGAAAGTGCTCACTCAATGGACCGGACCGCAGATACGCACCGCCGGAGGGCACTTAGCCTCGTAGGACTGTGCACAGCGAGTGTGGGAATAAAAGGCCACGTGTACGTCAGCAGTTTTATTGTTCTCCAGGAATGTTCCCGTGAGGCAATTCTGGGCTTAGACTTCCTGCAAGCAATCAGTGTCATCATCGACTTTCTTTACAGAGAATTCTGTTGCCGTGTGTCATGCGGAGCAACCAATTGTTTCGTATCTTCGTATTGTGGATGAAGGTGTGACAGTGCCACCACGTAGCAGCGTCACAGTTGCTGTGAAAAGTGACGTTTTTTTCAATATGCCGGACTAGCTGACGGGAATATCGAACTGCTACTCGCAAAGGCGATACGCGTGGCGTGAGGTCTAGTGAACCAGCGGAATGGATATACTGATGTGCTATTGACTAACTTTATCAACGATGTACAGGAAGGGGCGAAGGGAGCAGCCATAGCATCACTTCATGACTACGTACAAGTCTCAGATGTTTGCACCATAGAAAAAGTATCTACAACGCCCTCAACAGTGGGCAGTATCCTCGAGAAAATAGATATTGACCGAGAGCTTTCACCTCTGCAGAAAGACCAGATTGTGGAGTGGATCGAAGAATTCACAGAGTGTTTTGTTTCTTCATCGTCGGACGTACTCCCATAGCAAAGCACAGCATTGTAATCAATGGACATGTTAGACCAGTATGACAGCATCCATACCGATTAGATCCGAAAGAAAGGAAGGCGATAAGAAAGCAATTGCAGGAGATGCTCGACGACGATGTCATACAGCCCTTTAAAGCCCATGGGCATCGCCGATAGTACTTGTGAAGAAAAAGGACAACACCCTGTGGTTCTGTGTGACTACAGAAAACTCAACCTCTTCACAAAGCGGGACGTGTACCCACCCCCACGAGTCGACAATACGTTAAATAAACTGCACATCGCTCACCTTTTTTTATTGTTGGACCTAAAGAGGGGGTACTGTTAAATAGAAGTCGACGAACGGGATCGTGAGAAGACGGCGTTTGTGACGCCCGACGGACTCTACGAGTTCAAAGTACTCCCATTTGGTTTGTGTTCTGCTCCAGCTACCTTCCAGAGGATGATGAAAACTGTGCTCTCCGGCCTCAAATGGCAGTCATGCCTTGTCTATCTTGATGACATAGTAATTTTTTCCACTACGTTCGAGCAGCGCGTACAGAGATTGAGAACGGTACTGAACGCTATTCGCACGGCTGCACTCGCGATCAAACCCGAAAAGTGCCACTCTGGATTCCGTGAGCTTCGGTTCCTCGGGCACATTGTCAGTTCTCATAGTGTCCGCCCAGACCCGGATAAGATCACTGCAGTTAGAAATTCGCCAAGGCCAAGAGACAAAAAGGCAATGCGACGTTTTCTGGGACTTCGTCCTTACTTTTGGCGCTTCGTTGAAAACTTCTCCGAGATTGCGGAACCACTGACACGGCTTTCGAAGGGAGGTGTACCATTCATATGGCAGCAAGACCAAGAAGACGCCTTCTCTGAGTAATGACGGCGTTTGCAATCACCTCTCATTCTCGCTCAGTTCGATAAAGATGCCAAAACAGAAATTCATACGGACGCCAGCAACGTTGGCCTCGGTGATATTCTTGTTAAGTGGCAGAACGGAAAAGAAACAGTTATTGATCATGCAAGCCACACTCTGTCGAAAGCTGAGTATAATCATTCAACTACAAAAAAGGAATGTCTCGCCGTTATATGGGCCATCAGTAAGTTCTGTCCATATTTATACGGTAGACCAATCCGAGCCATCAGTGACTATCATTCATTCTGTTGGCTTGCGAACCTTAAGGATCCTTCCAGAATACTTGCTAGATGGAGCCTGCGTCTACACGAATATGACATCACCGTAGTCTACAAGTATGGCTACAAGCACAATGACGCGGATTGCTTGTCACGAGCACCAGTCCAAACCTCATCTCCTGAGAATGAGGAAGATTCTGCATTTCTTGAAGTTGTGAACGTGTCCGAGATGGCTTATGATCAGCGAATAGACCCAGAACTACTTCTGCTCATTCAATACTTAGAGCGACAGCAAGTCGAAGTACCGCGAGTTTTCGTGTGTGGACTACGTTCCTACGTGCTCCACAACAACGTTCTCTACAAGAGAAACATCGAACAAACCGGTGACACGTTCCTGCTTCTGATACCATCGTCACCGCGAGCGGATATTTTAGAAGCGTGTCATGATGACCCATCGTCAGGTCACTTGGGCATTAGTAGAACTTCGGCAAGAATCCGCCAGAGATATTACTGGTCAAAATTGATGGATTCAGTACAGTACTATGTCAGATCATGCCGAGAATGCCAAAGACGCAAAGTACCGCCCGGAAGCCAGCAGGTCTTTTGAAACCGATAGAGCCACTGAAAGTGCCATTTGAGCAGGCAGGAATGGATTTGCTAGGACAATTTCCTATGTCATCATTCGGGAATCACTGGATAGTTGTAGCAACCGACTACATGACCCAGTATTCCTAGACGTCATCTCTCACAAAAGGAACGGCAAATGAAGTGGCTCAGTTTTTTGTGACTTAGCGCACCTAAAGTCCTTATAACTGACAAAGGAACTGCGTTTACTGCCAGGAACTGCGTTTACTGCATCGACCACAGAAGAACTACAGCGTACCA